CTCGTAGCTGTACCTCTTGGGCTATTGGGTTCTACGTTTATTTCATATTCTGCTTGTAAGTCCTGAAGCTACAGCCCATCAGCTTCATTGTGAACCTAAGTTCTAGTCTTAGGAAAGAGTGAAACCTCTTTCTCTCCAAACCAATTATGTTATAAACCTCATTCATGTCCGCCTTTCTTCTAAACTGAAAGTCACAGCCTTTCCTGTCTTGCAATGTTCTGCCATGCTAAGAATGTTTTAATATTAATTTAGTTTTTTCCAAAGCTGGTCCACTCTCTCATGCTGGAGTGCCTAGCCATCTAACATCCCCCCCACAGCTGACAGCATTACTGTTATTCCTACTGTTATTTACTCTTACTTATTTGATAACAGTGTCTTTGGATGCAGACTCAGTTAAAGGTCATGGTGCAGTTGGGTAGATATTCATTTATAATCTGGATAAGCTATTTACTTGGCAAATGCGTCTGATGTTGCCACCGCCACAGCTTCTTTATCACCTGCAAGATGTCTTTAACATCTCCCAGATTTACTTTTTATTTTACTTACTGGCAAGAATTCAGCAAATGCGCACGCACATCTGTAAAATGTTTGTGTGATCTTCTTTTTGAATGCTTGACAAATTAAGTCCTGTGAAAACTGATAATGCAGTGCAATGAATGACATTTTAATAATCACAGAAAATAAGCCTGATGTTAAGTAGAATGTTTAGCAGCATCTTCTCCCTGGTTATTAAACATCTATTTAAGTAGCCGAATTATACATCTGTCAACAATGTTTAGAACAAGAATAAAACTTTCTTCCATGGCAAAAGGTTATTTGAAACAAAATACACAGTATAATAAGTAGGTTTAGTTTTGAAGGTTTGGGGACAGCCTCTCTTATTCACTGCTCTGTGCTCCTTGGCAGCAGTGCCCATGGCAACGCTCCCTGGTACAAGGAAGACTGCAACAATACGGCAGCTGTTCCTATCATAAGAAAGAGGGGAACTGAATCACTAGTGCATGGCTTTCTCAAGGCTGCCATTCTCTCTGAGCAAGGCTCAGGAGTGTCACTGGCAAGCACCCAATCCGGATGGAGCAAGAGACACTTCGTCCACAAAAGTAACTGAATGAGTGCAGCGCCATGACTGACTGGCTGACTGACTGATTGCAGATCTACAAACCTTTGGCTTCCTCAGAAGTGTTCCTGTGTGACTGAATTCCCGTGGGTTGGGGTTGAATGAATAGAACTGGATGCTTTAATTTTTACTGTCAGGAGAAATGGTAATGTGAATGTGGAGGAGGAATATTAATTATGCTTGGCAGACCTTCTTCAAACTTAAAAAAAAAAAAATCTCAACTGCACACGCACAAAACAGCACAAAGAAGGAGTCTAAGGAGCTGATAAGTGGGGGAAGCTTTTGTACTGCAGACTTGTACAAAACAGGTGGGTAAAGGAGAATTATTTGTCATTCTCAGTTTATCAGTTTCATAATTTTATTTTTGCTTTTTTATAAAAAAAAAGCCACACAATTTGAAAACAGAATTTAAATAGTTTTAAAAAACATTTGAAAGGCTATAACATGGATTAAAAAATAAAATATAATACCATAAAACCCTTCCTTCCTGTCATCTGCCCTTTCTCTGTCTGGTCAAGTAAACCAGTTATTTACATTAGGGAGATGCAAAGTCTGGGGCAGGAGCTGACTTCTTCCTGAAGAGAGCTGCAGACTGGGGAATCCAAGAGTCCCCTTCAGCCTGGCCTATTTCCATATGGTTGATAGAATGCCAGGGTGTATGGGGTGTTAGCGGAGGGGTAGTACCTCTGGTGGGGGACACATCATGCTCCTTCTGGGGTAGTTTGTCCACCTTTGGTCCCCACCCTGCACTCAGCTCTCACCTGTGGCTCCTAGAGCTGTCAGCATGCAACAGGAGCCACACCCCAAGGAACGGTTTCGACTGGCTGGCTAAACCAGGTGAGGGTAGCTGATGGGTCTCAAACCCTTGGTGAGTTAGGGACTTCCCCTGCAGGTGAAGACAAGGCTCTGGTGGATTGTGCAGATGAGAACAATAGTGGGTCCAATGGTCCAGAAGACGATTTCTGCATGTGCTGCAGAGAGACATGAGGGGCAGATAGGGCGTGTCAACTAGGCAGCCCATCTAGGAGAAGGAAAACTCGGATCCTAAACCTCCACTGCCTTGTGAGATATCTTTGGGAGAAGAAAAGGCTAAGGAGTAAACCCTGTACAAATCCAGAGTAGATGTCCTAAGGCAGTTGGATGGTGCCTTGTGCCCCTTGTACGTCTCCTCCCACCAAGCTGGTGCCAAACGTCTTGCTCTCTCTTTGGGCCACATCAGCAAGGCTGAGGGCAGCTGAGGACCTCCACACACATTGCCCAGGCTTGCACCCTGCGGAGGCCACTTTGGTGCTGCTAACGCAGCAGTTTGACTTCACCCGTGGAGGAGCACCCCACTGTCTCTTGAGACAGATGGATGACGACGGCAGCAGCAGCAGCAACTGATCAAAAGCCATTCCCAGAGGGATAGAAGAGGCAGTGTGAGCAAAGGCTATTTAAGTGTCAGCTGGACAGCTATTAGCAGGGACTGTCATTTTGGACTTTAACTGCTGGTCCTCCTATTCCTACTGCTTGCAAGGAAAGACCAGCCAAATCTGGTCAGCCAGCGAGCCAAGGGACCATTAGCATCTTGGGCCAAAGTGAGGACATCCCATCCTCCACAGCCTGAAATACCCACTGCCAGGTATGCTTCCTGGTATGCAGAGATAACACTCAGTGCCAATATAGACTGCAGCAGTGCAGTGTGGGCAGTTTGAGCAGCTGGGAGCAAAGTAGCCACTTATGCATCATCAGAAAAGAGTAAAAAAGACTGCACAGATCTGCATGCGCTGATTTAATATATATAGATAGAAATATAGGAAAATCACTGTAATAGAATTACAATATATCTCACCATAGAGGAAGAACTGTGACCGGGTGAACTGTGGGCTTGCTCTGCTGTCCGGATGCTACCAATAGGTTTCTTCTCTTAACCAGACTTGGACTAAACAGGCCTTCAAACAGAGGACGGCCCTGTGTAAAGCAGGGAGCAGAGCCAACACACAAGGAAGAGGCAGTCTGGACTTACTGTAACATCTGGCCCTTCACTCCGCTACTGCGACCACTATGGAAGAACCCCATTTACTGATTTTAATGCTTGGTTTTGTTGCTTCTCTGAGGGTGTTGCATTTATCACTGTGATGTATATTATGGGATGGTTTGTAGCCACTCCACTCCTCACTCTTAGGTCTATCTGTTCCAGTATTCTGCTTCCCATTCTGGCCTCTGAGAAGCCTTCCAGCTAATTAAAAATGTGCTAACCCTCTCCAATTCTTATTGAACCTTATTCATTTATTTTTTGCATTTATATGCCACCTTTATCTTCCAAGGATCTCAAGGTGGTGTACATGGTTCTCCTCCTCCTCGTTTCATCCTCACATCAACCCTGTGAGGCGGGTTAGGCTAAGACAGGGGCAGTCAACCTTTTTATACCTACCGCCCACTAAGGCATCTTTCTTGATGGTAGTTTCCTTACTGCCCCCCAGTGCTCGATGGAAGGAGCATTCAGCTTGTGCCGTAGAACCCCCTACCGCCCACCTAGAATCCTGAAACGCCCACCAGTGGGCGGGAGGGACCAGGCTGACAACCCCTGGGCTAAGAGATGGTGACCTGGTTCAAGGTCACCCAGTGAGCTTCGTGGCTAAGTGAGGATTCCAATCCTGCTCTGCCAGGTCCTGGTCCAACATTCTACACCACACTGACTTTACTACATGAGCAGTAAACTGCTTCAGAACATAGAATCATAGAGTTGGAAGAGACCACAAGGGCCATCGAGTCCAACCCCCTGCCAAGCAGGAAACACCATCAGAGCACTCCTGACATATGGTTGTCAAGCCTCTGCTTAAAGACCTCCAAAGAAGGAGACTCCACCACACTCCTTGGCAGCAAATTCCACTGTCGAACAGCTCTTACTGTCAGGAAGTTCTTCCTAATGTTTAGGTGGAATCTTCTTTCTTGTAGTTTGGATCCATTGCTCCGTGTCCGCTTCTCTGGAGCAGCAGAAAACAACCTTTCTCCCTCCTCTATGTGACATCCTTTTATATATTTGAACATGGCTATCATATCACCCCTTAACCTCCTCTTCTCCAGGCTAAACATGCCCAGCTCCCTTAGCCGTTCCTCATAAGGCATCGTTTCCAGGCCTTTGATCATTTTGGTTGCCCTCCTCTGGACACGTTCGAGTTTGTCAGTGTCCTTCTTGAACTGTGGTGCCCAGAACTGGACACAGTACTCCAGGTGAGGTCTGACCAGAGCAGAATACAGTGGCACTATTACTTCCCTTGATCTAGATGCTATACTCCTATTGATGCAGCCCAGAATTGCATTGGCTTTTTTAGCTGCCGCGTCACACTGTTGGCTCATGTCAAGTTTGTGGTCAACCAAGACTCCTAGATCCTTTTCACATGTACTGCTCTCAAGCCAGGTGTCCCCCATCTTGTATTTGTGCCTCTCATTTTTTTTGCCCAAGTGCAATACTTTACATTTCTCCCTGTTAAAGTTCATCTTGTTTGTTTTGGCCCAGTTCTCTAATCTGTCAAGGTCGTTTTGAAGTGTGATCCTGTCCTCTGGGGTGTTAGCCACCCCTCCCAGTTTGGTGTCATCTGCAAATTTGATCAGGATGCCCTTGAGTCCATCATCCAAGTCGTTGATAAAGATGTTGAATAAGACCGGGCCCAAGACAGAACCCTGTGGCACCCCACTAGTCACTCTTCTCCAGGATGAAGAGGAACCATTGATGAGCACCCTTTGGGTTCGGTCAGTCAGCCAGTTACAAATCCACCGAGTGGTAGCATAGTCAAGACCGCATTTTACCAGCTTCTTTATAAGAATATCATGGGGCACCTTGTCGAATGCCTTGCTGAAATCAAGGTAGGCTACATCCACTGCGTTCCCTTCATCTACCAGGCTTGTAATTCTGTCAAAAAACGAGATCAGGTTAGTCTGACATGACTTATTTTTCAGAAATCCATTCTGACTATTGGTGATCACCATGGAGTTGTCATATAACTATGCACTTTAACTTTAATTGTAAGTCACTTCCATTGGATTGAAAAATGGTGTCTAAATACTATAAAAATGGCCATCATGCCAATTCCCCCTTTGATGTATACATTCAAGTAGGGATTTCTTCATTCAGGGTTTAGCAGTCAGCTCTTTTACTGAGGTGGGAAACTGGAAGACCAAGTGCCTGCATGTTTGCTGAGAATTTTCCTGTGTTCCCTAGAGCTTACTCCCAGGTAGGCATGCCTAGGATGGCAGCCACTGTACTTTTGGTGGAACCAGAATATCCTCTTTTTTAGCAGATTCTTAAATTATCATTGTGGCTGTACTTCTTGAAGTGAAAATAGTATTCTGCTTACTGGCAGTACTGCTACCATGCTTTGGTGCAGGGATGCCAACTTGCCCACCACATGGGGGTGCATCACGTGACATGTCATGGGATGTCAAGGGATGCATCCTGCCCCCGTGATGTCAGCACTCACACACTGAGCTGGGCTCCATCCTCAGCCTCCTTCTCCCCATGGCATGTGCTGGGCAGGGGTAGGACACATGGAGGGCGACCTTTGCCCTTACTCATCCAGCCCCCTCCCGGCTCCTAGGCTCCCACGCAGGGGCTGCGGCACGTGGGGAGCATGTGGCAGTGGTGGGGGATGTCAGCTCCTTGCGCCCCATATATCCAGTGCCCCTGCTTTGGTGTATTACCAAAAGAGTCATTTGAGGAGATACCAAAACTTCTTCTCAGGTTGAAGGTTATTTTGACCAGTAGCCGTGAAAGTTAGTTGGCTGAAAGGAGTCATCTTCCTTCATTTTAGCAGATTCTCCCAAAATACCATGGTGGAGTACTGAAGAATAAACAAGGTGTGGATTGCAGCCAAAGCCCAACTCTGCACAGAATACCAGGGGAGACAACAAAACTAGCTGGTGAACATACAGGAAATTTAGGACCGTTTCAAAGGCAATGCATAAAACACACATATACTCAATAGTCAATAATATAATGACAGGGCTGTAGATTTCTAAATAACATACAAATTTCAGAGGCTGTTAAATTAATGGCATAGAGCTAAGACTTCAGATACAAGCATTCTTGTGAAATTTATTTTCATCAGCTTCTATAGTCTACAGCCTCTTCATTCAGTTTTGAATAATGGTTCAATTGAGCTGTAAAAGCTTCTAAAGTTGGAAACTTCTGACAAGTTAATTTCAGCCACACAGGGTAAAAATCCTCCTCCACCTCCCAGCCAGATAAAAGCTTCCATATCATGAATGTAGCAGTCATTCTAAGGAATTTAGAAAACAACAAAAATGACGTCAACCCTATCTTGCCAGGAAAAGAAAAACACATATAGTGGTATGCTTTAGGGAGAAAGTAGATTACACTAAAACACTGCTATTCCAAAGAATAAAGAGAAATACAAACCTAATGTGGAGCGGGGGGGGGGGGAATAAAGTGGAATACCTTATAGAGAGCATAGAATCATAGAGTTGGAAGGGACCCAAGGGTCATCTAGTCCAACCCCCTGAAATGTAGGAATCTCAGCTAAAGCATCCATGACAGATGGCCCTCCCACCTCTGCTTTAAAACCTCCAAGGAAGGAGAGCCCACCACCTCCCAAGGGAGACTGTTCCACTGTCAAACAGGTCTTACTGTCGGAAAGTATTTTCGCATGTCTAGTCGGAATCTCCTTTCTTGCAACAACTTGAAGTCATTGGTTCGAGTCCTACCCCCCCCCCCGAGCAGGAGAAACAAGCATGCTACCTCCTCCATGTGCTATCCCTTCTCCTCTCAGTCTCCTCTTTTCCAGGGTAAACATACCCAGCTCCTTCATGTGCTCCTCATAAGGCTTAGTTTCCAGAGCAGTGATCATCTAGGTTGCCCTCCTCTGCACACGTTGCAGCTTGTCAATACCCTTCTTAAATTGTGGTGCCCAGAATTGGACACAGTGTTCCAGGTGTGGATGTGTGACCAAGGCAGAAGAGAGTGGGACTATTACTTCCCTTGATCTGGACACTAGACTTCTGTTGATGCAGCCTAGAATAGCATTAGCTTTCTTTTGCTGCTGCATCACACTGTTGACTCATGTTAAGCTTTTGGTCCACCAGGAGCCCTAGATCCTTTTCACATGTACTGCTAGTAAGCCAGGTGTCCCCCACCCTATATTTGTGCGTCTGGTTCCTCCTGCCTAAGTGGAGAACCTTAAATTTATCCCTACTGGAATTCATTTTGTTATCTTGAATTGCGTGAATTGCACTAAATAATAAACTACTAAGCTTTTGTAGTCATCATGTAGCAGGACCCACTACAAATAGCCAGTGAAGACCTGTTCCTCACTCCTGTTTTAGATTGTGAGCCTTAGGACAGGGACTCCCTAAGTACTGATTTTTGTAAGTGACTCAGAAAGCCTCTTTGACTAAAGGGTGGCTTATTAATTAATTAATTAATTAATTAATTAATAAATTAATTTTATGTACTGCTATGATCTACGCATTGTGAAATGTAAGGTACCAACATATTGTTTGTAGAACTCCTCCATTTGACATCCTAGTATAACTACTGAAGGCAAAGTAAGCCAATTTGTCTACGCAAACCAAGCATAGGGATGTATTGCCAACCATTGCCTCAAAATTCATAAAATAAACTAGAGGAGATTATTATGTGCTATTTAAAAAAAGCGAAAACAGTACATTTAAGAGAAATTCTAAAGTTGTTTAGAATTTGTTAGAATTATCTAACAACTGATTTAGTAAAATATAATGGACAGTATAGAGGAGATTTAGCTCTGTTAGATCTGACTAGAGCCAGACTATCAGTCAAAGAAAGAAGTAATGATTTGGTAGCACTGCAAAATTTGTGAAGAGTGCCTTCTAACAGATGTCCCTTTCTTTGAACATTTTCAGAACTCTTCACTGCTATGGAAATGATCTGAATACTATAACCAACAATCAGTTAAGAAAAGCTGTGAAGTTCTGAGCAATTAAAGTTTGTGAGTTTAATTATTGCTATGACAGTATGTAAATTTATGGGCTATGCATTTCACTAAAAATATTAATACCAACAATTTAAAAAGTGCTTAAATACATCATAAGCAGCTAGGGAAGTGGTTGGTTCTTTGGACAGCAGTGGAGTTAAAGGTGTGCTAAAGGAAGCAAAGGTGATTGTGCAGAAGCTGATGTAATCATTTCCATTTGTTTTTACTGCGGGAGATGGAACATAGATACTGGTGCCTGGAGTGACATTATCAGAAACAGAATCTGAAGAAATGAGACAAATAAGAGGGACAAGAAACAAAGTTCTGGGCAGTATGGCAAAAAGATTAGAACTGGGAAGAGGTTAACATAATATTCTTTTAAAAAAACTGGATCAGGTTTGTGAATTGAGAAAATTACAGGCCAGTTAGAAAATCTGCTCTGGGAAAACTGATGGGAAGAATATGTCCTGCTGGAAAAAATCAGCATGGCTTCTGCAAACAAGTCCTGTCTCACTTACCCTTTTAACTCTCAAGAGCCTCATTTCTGTGTGCCCTCTGGCTCTCACTGGTGGATGTTCTCAACTCATGTTCTCAACTCAGGTTTTGCTGATGGCTTTAATGCATAGATCACTATGGGATGTAAGTCAGGTTACAAAGCACACTGGTTAGCATTTGCAGCAGAGGTTAAAATATCTGACTAAGCACCAACTGGGCCATGTCCCCCAGACTCTCATTTTGAAGAGCAGAATGGATACTGGCATTCGTATGGTTGGCGCTCCAAGAAACAGGACTGGGCAAGTAAGTGGCACTCCTTTGAACTGTCTGGGTTTGCTGAGTTTGTTCATGCAGGTGCAGCCATCTTTGTGTCCTTGGCGATGGAGCTGGAGTCCATGGGGCTGGCTTTCTGTCTGATCTGCCCGCTGGCACCTCCTTGATGGGAGGAGGTTCTTTGGGGGTGGGAGGTGGCCCAGGCATCATGAGGCAGCTGTGATGTGGCACCCAATGTGTCTGATGGCACTGAAGCAGACTTCTCCCGCTCCCCAAAGTCTGAGTCAATGTCTTCCAGTTCTGGTAGTACCCCATTTTCCTCCTCTCCACCAGACCACAGCTGCAAGACTTTTCATGGGGTTGGGCTGTAATGTGTCACAGCTCAAATGAAACAATATTTTTCAGTCTGTTGATTGAAATACTTTGTTCTTTTAATTTAGATTAAAAACTGTTTTGGATAATGAAAAGTTAAATTGATTTTGGGAGGGATAAAAAATGCATGCAACCAGAAGCAACTTTTCCTTTATTTTAAAAGTTTGTGTTCCCATCCCTGGAGTATTCATTTTGTACCTACAGTTTCAGAAAGGTTTTAATAAAGTTTCTTATCAAGAGTTTCTGAGTAACTTAACAGTCATAAGATAAGATGACAGATTCTCTTATGGATCTGTAACTGGTTAAAGAAAAGGATGCAGAAAAAGGAATAAATGGACCATACTCACAATGGATAGATGTATGAAGTGAGGTCCTGAAAGGATCTGTATTGGGACCTGTACCTTTTAACGTGAATAATCTGAAGTTTAGAGATGAGCAGTGAAGTTGCAATGTTTGTAATGACACAACATCATTCAGGGTGGTAAAAATTGTGGGGTCAAGATGGGTAACTCAATGAAAATGCTGCTGTAGCAGCTGTGATAGTGTATGAATTTATAGATGGTGTGGAGAAAGTAGTTAGAGATTTTTTCCCTTACTGTTTCATAATATTAAAACCTGGGGTGTTCCAATGAAGTTGAAAATGGAAGAGTCGGAGGGCAAAGTACTTTACATAGCACATAGTTTCAAACTATGGAATTTGCTATACTGTACAAGACAGTAGTGATGACCATCAGTTTCTTTTAAAAGGAAATCGGACCAATTTATGAAAGATGAGGCAAGCAGCAATGGCTGCTGTGATATTCTGATAGTGTGTAGTGTTAAATGTGGAGGTAATTAGATTAGATGAATTAGGCTAAGTGTTGGTTGGGAGAGGGAGGGAGCGTGCTTGGAACATTGGAAGTGAGTGGTGACGAGATAGGAATTTTGAGGGGCAGTTTGAATATTAGTTGGGATTGAACGTGGTTGAGAGTATATTGGGTTAGTGAGATAGAATAGGGTCAGTGTTGTTATTGGTAATAGTTTTGGGGTAAATGGTGAGGGAGGATTTAGCTTAGGTATTTTTGGAACATTAGAATAGGTAGGAGTGTTTATATGAATCAGAATAACTTCTAACCATAACTAAATACATAAATTCTAACTACATAACTAAAACCATATGCTTCTGTGTGCTGAATTAATATTTGATTATTTTTATAAGTTCTGTTATCAATAAAGTTGTTGTATTATACACGTGTTTCTTGACTGGCCTCACTAAAGGTGGAATCAGATAGTTTGTATCTGTGGTGGCAGCAAAAACCAAGAGATCCTAGATACCTAGCAGGAACCCAGGTGAGGGCTGTACACCTTAGAGAGAAGGTGGTCCAGTGAAGATGAGGTAGATCTGAGGGTGATGTCAGAGAACCACAAAGCAGAAGCAAAGTGGCATGACACCTATTAGTCATGATGGCTGTATGCTACCTGCAAGATCAGAGGAGGTATAGGAATAGGACTTTCAGGATGCTGGAGAGATTCAGAAACTAAACTGAGTGATGCAATTAAAATACTGGCTTGATTATGGAAACAGTCTAGAACAGGTAACGGAATGTGATTAATTTCTAATTATGTTTCATTTTCTATAATGGGTAAGTACACAAACTGAAAAATCACCTTTTTTCTAAGAACAATTTCTCATTTTAAAATAACTTGTTACCATTCCAAATTCTAAGTAAAAGCATAACTGGTTTTGGGGAAAATTGGTCTGAGACCCTGTTATTTGTGCCATGTCTAAGTGCTATAACACTGTACCAAGTGTTGGGAGTAGGTTGATTGGACTAATTAAAGTCCTGAAGGTTAAACGAGTATTTAGAGGAAGCAGCCAGAGAAAAATAAAGATATCTTCCTGGTGGCAGTGCTGAAGTTAACAAGAAAGAGGAATTGTTTTGGCTGGTTTGCTTGCCTCCCTAGCCTCTCATAGTACAAGCTTCAGACCGTGTCGCCCTAACCTCTGAATATCAAACCTTGGGAACAACAATCAGGGGAGGGCTATTTCACTCAAGCTCTGCTTGTGGGTTTCCTGCAGGCATCTTGTGGGCCACTTGTTGCTGGGCTAGAGGGAAAAGCCATCTGCATGCACACTTAGTAGTGTCAGTCCCACTGAATTCAATGATGTTTACTACTAATTATGCGTACATAAGATTCCAGCTCTAATGGCTAAGATCAAAAGGTATGAGATGGAAGTCTCTGGTTCTTGTTAAATTTCATCAATTATTGCATGGCTTGATGGAACCACTATCCCTCAACTTCAGCCACCTTTTGTAGCGTACTTGTCTGCCTTGCAGGGTCATTTTAAGTGTGACTCACAGGTAATGTATGGGTCATTCCATATCAAGTGATCCAATTTTTTTTTACCTCATGTCATCCAGTTTTCTTAATGCTTTGTACACTTGTTGAATGATCAAGACTAAGTCTAAATCTAAAATTTTAATTTTTTTATCTCATCCTGTTTTTGAGTTATGAGGGTTTGAAATTTCATTTTTGGGGGGGCATTGCCAGACTACACAAAAACCTTAAAAGCTCAGCCCAGAATTGAGAGATTTCAAAAATAAAAAACCAATCTCTTCAAATGTCATATGATGGGCCCACTTTAAAATTTAAAGTTACATAATTTAATTTTTTTAAGTTATTTTTAAAAATGATTAAAATTTCCCCCCAAATTGTATTATTTCATCTTGGTATCTCAATGGGATAACATTAAAAACATATTTTGTACATACATGTTGGGCTTATTGGGTTTTTTTTAGGATAAATGAGTCTTCTTTGGGTTAAGTATAACAGAATAAACAAGACTTCAAAGTATAATATCAGTTACTTCAGGCATTTCTTCAAAAATATATTCAATTAAACTGTATCTGAAAAGCTAGTGAGGCTTTTCTTTATAAAATGTGTTCCACAGCAGAGTGGTAACTTGCTGTTGCACGATAGAATTAACGCTTTGAAAGCGTCCTTGTTAGTACTTCATTTCATGAACATTACAACAAAATACATATCAAACGAAATTATGGAAAAAAACCTTACACATCAAATGGGTCTAAAACATTTATTCTTCCATTAATTATACTTTATACCAAACGCTTTTCAATAGAATTTGTTGCACATGATGTTTCATTTTTTGTCCAAGTGTGGCCAGTTGCAGTCCTTGGTTTGACCGGTGTTAGAACTTCTGCTCGCCTTACCTTAAAAACATCCCAACTAGATGTGTAAACAAATTATGACACTGAGCCCGGCTAGTGTCAGAAGGGCAGAGGTCACGTCTTCACTTCCATAGTCCACCGACAGCACACAGGTCAACCACCATTTTTTATTGCATTCACAGGTTACATACCTAGTTATCTCAGCTGTATCCAGAGATTTTGTACCTCCTTCACTGTCGAACTTCTCACTCTCATTGCTAAAGGAGTACACTTTGGTCACAATTTCTGTTGGCCTGGATGTAGATGGAACAAAGCAATGAAATCCTTGTATTCCCTTGATTGATTTCACTGTTTCAAAGGGTTGTTTTAGGAATGTTCTTTTCTGCACTCCTCATTTGTTGAAAATGACAACCCGGTAGAAGGAGTGTTATCTTGGCACCAGTTAAAGAGTTCCAGTGGTGTCATAATTTTGTTTGCTATGTACAGTATTTTGTAGTAACTGTAAAATTTTAGATTTAAACTTAGTTTTGATCATTCAACAAATAGACAAAATGTTAAGAAAATTGGATGACATGAGGTAAAAAAGTAGGATCATTTGATATGGAATGACCTGTATGTGAAACACTTTTGGCACTTTGCATTTAGTATTTAAATAACTTTTTTGAAATTATTATACATTTAATGAATTAAAATGCATCTCCTACTTCATCAGTTGAATATGAACATTCATCATCTTTCTTTTTAACAAGGTTCTAACATGTCAGGACTACTTACGCAGTAATCATTTTAAGCACAATAGTGAACTGGCTTACAGATCAAATAAGGAAGTGTTGAGTAACTGAATGCAATCTTCAAATAGATACAACAGATTCCCAAATGACACCCTGTTAAAGGTTTGGGTGCACTCTTGCAAGGAAAAACAGCAAATAATGCTGGAAGGAATTTATGCTAGTATGTGGTCCAGTTGCTAACATATGGCTTAGGTGATGAACTGAAAACTGTTTGACACTGAACTCCTAGGTGGTTTGATGGCAAGTCACACTGTTATATGCAGTGCTATAAATGTAAATTGTGATCTATTTATGAGAAAATAAATAAAACAAGGATCATTATGAGGTTAAGTAGCAGACAGGTGTTGGTTAACTGATCATCAGCAATTGTGACCATCTCTATAAAAGTCAAAATTTTAGCAGTTTGATGGAGCATTCAGATGTGTTTTAACACAATGCTGAGGAAAGACATCAGCAATGCTCTTAGAGAAGCAATTGTTGCTGCCCATGACAATTGCTTCTCTAAGAGAGAAGCCTAGAATAAAATTTAAAATATTAACAGATGCAAGGAAAGAGGTGGATTTGCCCTGCCAGACCTTAAACTTTATTATGAATCAGCAGCTTTCTGCTGGTTGAAAGAAATGGCTACTCCTTGAAAACACAGACATTTTGGATTTGGAAGGCTTTAATAATGTATTTGGATGGCATGCATATTTGTGGTATGATAAGGTCAAAGTACATAAAGCATTTAAAAATCATATTGTCAGGAAAGCACTGTTTAATGTTTGGATAAGATATAAGGATTTGCTTGAAAGTAAAACCCCAAGGTGGTTGTCACCGATGGAAGCGAACGCTCAGAAAAAACTCAATATGGAGGCCAAATGGCCGAAATATTGGGAAATTTTGGAACAAGTGGGAGACAAACTGAAATTGCAGAGTTATGAAAAACTAAAAAACAAAGTGTGAGATTGGCTTCATTATTATCAAATAATGGAGGCATACAATTTGGATTAAAAAATTGGATTCCAGGTGGAAAAATCAAAATTGGAAACTGAACTGTTAGATCCCAAAACTAAGACTTTGTCAAGGATGTATAACTTGCTGTTGAAATGGAATACTCAGGATGAAACGGTGAAATCTGCTATGATTAAATGGGCACAAGATGTTGGACACAATATTATGTTTGCTGACTGGGAACAGTTATGGACCACAGGTATGAAGTTTACGGCATGTAATGCCTTAAGAGAGAATATTATGAAAATGATATAGAGGTGGTACATGACTCCAGTCAAGCTTGCAAAAATCTACCATCTGCCCGATAACAAATGTTGGAAATGTAAAGAATCTGAAGGTACATTCTTTCACCTTTGGTGGACGCGCCCAAGGATTAAGGCTTTCTGGGAGATGATATATAACGAAATGAAAAAGGTATTTAAATATACCTTCTTGAAGAAACCAGAGGCCTTTCTCCTGGGCATCGTGGGCCAATTGGTGTTAAAGAAGGATAGAACTTTCTTTATGTATGCCACGACTGCAGCAAGAATACTCATAGCAAAGTATTGGAAGACACAAGATCTACCCACCCTGGAAGAATGGCAGATGAAGGTGATGGGCTACATGGAACTGGCAGAAATGACCGGCAGAATCTGAGACCAGGGAGAAGAGTCGGTGGAAGAAGATTGGAAGAAATTTAAAGATTATCTACAGAAATATTGTAAAATTAATGAGTGTTAAAATGATGTTGGATGAAACTTATGTGGTTTTTAGCTATAGTACTATAAGGAGTATGGAAAAAATGAATTATTAACAGACAAAAATTTAATGTTACATTATTTTAAGATTAAAGATTAGGATAAACAAAGAAGGGAAAGGATTTGCTGAGCTAACAAATTGAACTGGAATACAAAAAGGAAGGTGTGAGGAGGTCCGGGAAATAAGCAGACGAAAGAAAGTGATGAAAAGATGGAATTGTCTTTTTTTATCTATTTTTATTTTGTACTTTTCATTTTTTGTAAAATTCTAATAAATATCTTTTAAAAAAAATAAATGTTGCTGCCCATGAAACTGGGAAGGGTTATAAGACCATCTCTACCCAATTTAACGTGCATTATTCTACAGTAAGAAAGATTATTCAAAAGCGGAAAACATTCAAGACAGTTTCCAATCTTCCCAGGAGTGGACGTCCCAGCAAATTCACCCCAAGGTCAGACCGTTCAATTTTCAGAAGAATTGCAAGAAACCCAAGAGTTCCATCACAGGATCTACAGGCCTCATTTAGCATCAGTGTTACAGCTCATGACAGTACAACTAGAAAAAGACTGAACAGTAGGTTGTTTGGAAGGGCTTTCAGGAGAAAGTCTCTTCTCTCTAAAAAGAACATGTCAGGATAGTTTACAAAGTTGCATCTTAAGAAACTACAAGACTTCTGGAACAATGTCCTTTGGACAGACAAGACCAAAGTGGAGTTGTCTGGCCAAAATGCATAGCACCACATTTGGCCAAAACCAAGCACAGCATATCAGCACAAACACCTCGTACCAACTGTTAAGCAGGGTGACAAAGCGGTGATGAGTTGGGCTCGCTCTACAGCCACAGGACCTGGGAACCTTGCAGTCATTGAGTCGACTATGAACTCCTCTGTACAGAGAAGTATTCTAGGGTCAAACTCGAGGCCATCTGCCCAAAGGCTGAAGCTTGGCTGAGATTGGGTCATGCAATAGGACAATGGTCCCAAAAACATCAGCAGATCTACAATAGAATGGCTGAAAAAGAAAAGAATCAAGGTTTTGCAATGACCCAGTCAAAATCCAGACCAGAGAGCCGTGCATAACAAATGCCAGCAAACCCAACTGAAGCAACGGTGTAAAGAAGAGTGGGCCAAAAATCCTCCACCACAATGGGAGAGACTGATAAAGTCATCAGAAAACAATTACTTCTAGTTATTGCTGCTAAAGGTGGTTCTATTGAATCGTAAGGTGTACTTAGTTTTTCACACATGGCTTCTCCATCTTGGTTTTATTTTTGTTAAATTAATCTTGACACAGTGTAATATGTCCTGTGTTGTTGTTCATCTGTGGGTATATTTACCTAATTTTAAAACCTAAAGAACGCATGATTTTTATTATGTCCTAATATGTAAAACCACAGAATTCAAAGAGGGTGTACTTTCCCACCCCCCATGGTAGGTAAAGGTAAGACTCCTGGACAGTTAAGTCCAGTTGAATTTGACCATGGGGTGCGGTGCTCATCTCGCTTCAGTTAAAGGGAGCCGGTGTTTGTCTGCAGACAGCTTTTCTGGGTCATGTGGCCACCAGACTAAACCGAAAACAGGTAGCCTGCACTCACATTTTCATAATTGCAAATGGGTGGAAGTTAACTAAGTCTTACTCAGAGTGGACCCACTGATCTTTATGAACATGACTAAATTAGTGTAATGATCTCTGGCAGGCAAGCAAGTCCCGATAAGAAGTAATGACTCTCCAGAAGTTTTGTGTACATTTATTTTCAACAAAACACATTCTCGCCTCTTCGCATTGATGATAGTTGGTCAGTCTGAATCTTCACCCCTCCCACAGCAGGAAGGACACCAAACTCCCACCTTTCCTCTCTTGCCCTTCTGCTGCCCTCTGATCTTGTCCAGTCTCCTAGAACGGGGACTGAGAGGCTGGCCTTTGCCCTCCCCACTTCCACTTGACACAGTCTCAGACCTCTGCTTATCTGCTGATTGCCTAGAAACTCTCTGGCTGCCTTCTAACCCTCCTGCTTCTTGAGAGCGAACAGTGTCTTCTTTTGGAAGGAGGGTCAAACTGCCCTTTCTCGGCTCTGTCAGCCAGCTCTCATTTACAGAGTCAGTCCCTCTTTCACTTAGCTCAGTTTCTGAGTCTCACTCTTCCCCTGCGCTCTGGTGAGCCACATTCCTAACAGTTAGGGCCTTTAATTTCACTGTGTCTACTCTGAGTAAAATGTAGTTTCATACCACGCAATGATTTGAAGGCTGCACTCCTATACTCACTTACCTGGAAAGTGTGTGTGTGTGTGTGTGTGTCACACATACTTTTCAGGTAAGTGGGTACACACACACACACACACACACACAAACACACAATTGTTCTGTTAGGCTCTATGTTAACTAACTTATTATCCATCCTGTCGCAGCTCAGGGCAATAAAGTATTTTAAAGCATACAAACACAACCAAAAACTTTGATTGAATAGCTATTGTGACTCAGTAGTTTAGTTGTGTCAGTTCTTCACTCTCAGATTACATCCAAGCAGACCAAGGGTTCAAATTCCACCATTCCTCTAATGTTGGCAGCCAGCACAGGTATCTGCATCTCACAAAATGTTTGGTGGAGTCAGTAGTAGGCATCATGCATTCACTTTCTGCAGCCGTTTGTGTTATGTACTGAAGTTCTCACCCTGGGCCAGCAGGGGGATACTGTAGATAGTTATGCAAATAAGGGATCAAAAGTGACGTTCAGTGATTGGATAGTTTTAGAAAGTTGTTACAGTTACGTTGTACTGGAGCTCTATATAAGCAGGCTGACTGAACCCTGTCCTGGCCTGTGAATAAACAAGAGCTGCTTGAAGAATCGCTGTGTCGTCTGATATGTTCACCCACAACTTAACAGGCCCCACTTGGCACAATGACCAGGACCCCCCCCCCCAAGTTAACTAGGCTGGCGTACCACATTTAAATTTCATTCTGAAAACTCAGTATGCTAAAGAATTTTAGTTCATTTTTAAAGGGGGTGAGGAAGGGATGTATGTAGGAAGACACTCTTGGGAAATTTCCCAATGCTCCAGATATTTTGGATGTGTTAGACTAGGACCTGCCAAAGCAGGGTTCAAATCCCAACTCAGCCATGAAGTCCACTGGGTGACCTTGGGCCAGGTTCCTCTCTTTCTCTCAGCCCAACACACAGTAACACATGAAAGCGGTCCATTCAGTTCAGTATTGTCTACACCACTGGTCTTCAGCTGGTGGGTTGGCACCCACTAACATGCTGCGGCCCGATCCAAGGTGGGTTGCAACCAGAGAACTACCACCCTGCAAATATATGGGGAAAGATAAAGAAATGGGTCCCCAAATGCAAGTATGATTAAAAGTAGGTCCTGGGTCTTCAAAGGCTGAAGATACTTGGTTTGCGCTGATTGGCAGCAGCCCTCAAGATTTCAGGCAGGATCTCTCCCAGTCCCACCAGGAGATGCTGGGGACTGAACCCGATGCCTTCTGCATGCTAAGCAGTTGTTCTACCACTGAGCTATGGCCCTAGCTCACAATATTGCTGTCCGGATAAAATGGAGAAGCTGGAGGCTGAAGTGTGTATGCTCTGTAGAGGAAAGGTGGGATAAAAGTGTAAGAAGGAATAAAGTATGTAAACTAGCCTAGAAGTGAATCAACTACAGTATATTTTTAACTTACTCTCCTAATAATTTGTATATAAATTATAAAAGTGGTATATAAATTTTGTTAAATAAAAAAAGAGGAAATGTTCAGACTTTCAAACAGTGTGTTATGCCTGAGCCTTCATTGCTGAAACTCCCAACAGCATTTT